ATGGATGGATGATGGATGGATGGATGATGGATGATGGATGGATGGATGGATGATGGATGGATGATGAATGGATGGATGGATGGATGATGGATGGATGGATGGATGGATGATGGATGGATGGATGGATGGATGGATGGATGGATGGATGATGGATGATGGATGGATGGATGGATGGATGGATGGATGATGGATGGATGGATGGATGGATGATGGATGATGGATGGATGGATGGATGATGGATGGATGGATGGATGGATGGATGGATGATGGATGGATGGATGGATGGATGATGGATGGATGGATGATGGATGGATGGATGGATAGATGATGGATGGATGGATGATGGATGGATGATGGATGGAACAGAATTGGGATGGGAAGGAATAGGGATGATTTGGGATGAGATGGAATTGGGATGAAATGGGATGGGATAAAATGAGACGGCGAGGAAATGCGATGGGATGGGGTGGGACACCTCAGTCTCACCTGGGAGCTGGGCAGGGGTGGGTGGCTCCTCCATAGGGCCACCCCTGTGGTTGTCACCTCCTCTGGGGCCACCTCAAGGGTCCTTTTGGGGCTCCTGGCCAGGCTGATCCTCTCCAGCCACGTGTTCTCCTGCTCCACCAGAATTACAGAATCCCAGGACTGGGGTTCCCCCAGTGTGCCCCAAGGGTACCCCAGCACTTTGTCCCCACAAAGGGACAATTTTGGGGACCTGTCCCCATCCCCACCTGGGCACTGAGGGCCTGGGCTCGCTGCCGGCTCTGCTGCTCCAGCTCCACCTCGGTGTCCAGTGCCGCCAGCTCGGCCAGCAGCGCCTGCGACGCTGAGGGTGACACCCGCGGGGACACCGGGGGTCAGGTGCCACCAGTATGCCCAGAGCCCGGCCAGAGCACCCGGGAGCGGGGCTGGCACCGAGCCAGGGTGGGGATTTAACCCAGGGAGGTGCCAGGGACACTGGGGACATGGGGATGGGACATTGGGATGGGACACGGGGATGGGACAACAGGAAGGGACAGGGCCCACCCCTGTCCCAAGGAAGGGACAGGGCCCACCTTGCTCCAGCTGGGCCAGCCGAGTCTCGGTGTCATCTGGCACTGGATCCAGGGGCGAGTGCTGTGGTGGGAAAAGCGGGAATGAAGCTCTGGGTTGGCATGGAATTCCTTTGGCATGGAATTCCGTTGGCATGGAGTTCCATTAGCACGGAGTTCCATCGGCACGGCCGTGGCAAATGTCACCCTGTTGGCGCAGCGTGGCATTGTCATGGCACAGAATGGCCCTTGGGATGGAATTCTGTTGGGATGGAATGGCCCCTGGGGTGGGAATCCATTGGGATGGGACGGCCCTCGGGATGGAATTCCATTGGCACAGCGTTCCATCGGAGCGGCGCTGTTTGGCACTGGCGCCGCTTTGGCACAGAATTCCATTGGCACAGAATTCCACCAGCATGGAGATCTATCAGCCTGGCACCGGCGGGGTGTTCCATTGGCATTCCATTGGCGCTGGCCGGGTATTCCATTTGAATTCCATTGGCATTCCATCAGAACTGGCAGGGAATTCCATTGGAATTCCATTGGCACTGTCAGAGTATTCCATCGGAATTCCATCGGTGAGCCCTGAGCCACCCGGACACCCTCAGCACCAGGGATGCTGTCCCCATGTCACCCCTGAAATTTGGACAGGGGGCACCCCCCCATCGCCCTGATTTATGGGATCGGGAAGGAGGAATCCAATGGAAAAGGAGCCTGGAAGCGATACCTGTCCAGGAGCTGCCTCTTCCTCCTCCTCCTCCTCCTCGCTGCTCCCGGACTCCATGATGGCTGCAGGGACCCGAGCCAGGACTGTGGTGACACCAGGGGTGACAGTGGGGGACAGGACGGTCCCTTCCACCCCTAAGTGTCCCCTCTGCAGAGTGGGACACAGCCCTGGAGTCCCCGATGTGGCACTGGGGACACCCCTTGTCCCCAGGGTCCCCAGCTCCCCCTGGACCATTCCCCACAATCCCTGATCTGATGGGGAACGTGCTCGGGAATCCGAATCCCAACCCCTTTTCCCAGGACAGGACCCTCTTCCCAGCCTATCCCCCAATCGTGAGGAGGGAAAATCTCCCCAGGCCCCAAATCCCAGTCCCAAAACCCCACGGGTGACCCCCCAACTCCATCCCCCAATCTTGAGAAGGGAAAATCCCCCCAGTCCCCAAATCCCAGCCCCCAAACCCCACTGGTGACCCCCCAAAAATCCCGCAATCCTGAGGAGAGAAAATCCCTCCAGCTCCCAAACCCCACTGGTGACCCACCAAAAATCCCCAATCTTGAGGAGGGAATATCCCCTCCAGTCCCCAAATCTCAGCCCCCAAGCCCCACTGGTGGCCCCCCCAAAAATCCCCAATCTTGAGGAGCGAAAATCCCCCCAGACCCCAAACTCCACTGGTGACCACCCCAAAAATGCCCCAAACCTGAGGAGGTAAACACCCCCCAGACCCTAAACCCCAGCCCCCAAACCCCACTGGTGGGCCCCCAAAAATCCCCCAATTCTGAGGAGGGAAAATCCCCCCAGACCCCAAATCCCAGCCCTCCAAACCCCACTTGTGACCCCCCAATTTTGAGGAGGGAAAATCCCCCCAGACCCCCAACCCCACTGGTGACCACCCAACTCCATCCTCCAATCTTGAGGAGGGAAAATTCTCCCCCAGACCCCAAATCCCAACCCCCAAACCCCACAGGTGACCCCCCAAAAATCCTGCAATCCTGAGGAGAGAAAATCCCTCCAGCTCCCAAACCCCACTGGTGACTGCTCAAAAATCCCCCAATCCTGAGGAGGGAAAATCCTCCCCAGCCCCCAAACCCCACTGGTGACCCACCAAAAATCCCCAATCTTGAGGAGGGAATATCCCCTCCAGTCCCCAAATCTCAGCCCCCAAGCCCCACTGGTGGCCCCCCCAAAAATCCCCAATCTTGAGGAGCGAAAATCCCCCCAGACCCCAAACCCCACTGGTGACCACCCCAAAAATGCCCCAAACCTGAGGAGGTAAACACCCCCCAGACCCTAAACCCCAGCCCCCAAACCCCACTGGTGGCCCCCCAAAAATCCCCCAATTCTGAGGAGGGAAAATCCCCCCAGACCCCAAATCCCAGCCCTCCAAACCCCACTTGTGACCCCCCAATTTTGAGGAGGGAAAATCCCCCCCAGACCCCCAACCCCACTGGTGACCACCCAACTCCATCCTCCAATCTTGAGGAGGGAAAATTCTCCCCCAGACCCCAAATCCCAACCCCCAAACCCCACAGGTGACCCCCCAAAAATCCTGCAATCCTGAGGAGAGAAAATCCCTCCAGCTCCCAAACCCCACTGGTGACTGCTCAAAAATCCCCCAATCCTGAGGAGGGAAAATCCTCCCCAGCCCCCAAACCCCACTGGTGACCCACCAAAAATCCCCAATCTTGAGGAGGGAATATCCCCTCCAGTCCCCAAATCTCAGCCCCCAAGCCCCACTGGTGGCCCCCCCAAAAATCCCCAATCTTGAGGAGCGAAAATCCCCCCAGACCCCAAACCCCACTGGTGACCGCCCCAAAAATGCCCCAAACCTGAGGAGGTAAACACCCCCCAGACCCTAAACCCCAGCCCCCAAACCCCACTGGTGGTCCCCCCAAAATTCCCCAATTCTGAGGAGGGAAAATCCCCCCAGACCCCAAACCCCACTGGTGATCCCTCAATCTTGGGGAGGGGAAATCCCCCCAGACCCCAAATCTCAACCTCCAAACCCCACTTGTGACCCCCCAATTTTGAGGAGGGAAAATCCCCCCCAGCCCCCAAACCCCACCCAGATTTCACCCACCAGGTTCCCCCTTACCTGTGAGGTGTCCCCCGACTCCATCCCCAATCCAGGCCATGCTTGGGGGTCCCCAAACCCCGGAGATTTTGGGGTGCCTCCCTTTCCCTGGTGTTGTGTCCTCCTTCCCCTACAGGGAAGTGAAACCTCCCTCCCCTCCCTCTCCCCTCCCTCTCCCCTCCCTCCTCCCGAGAGGCCCCGATCCCAACGGGGGGAAGCGAAACCCACAGCAGGATGTTGGGATTTTCCATGGCGAGTTTTCCCCTAAAACACAGAATTATGGGGTTTTGGGGAGCTGCAGTTTGGGGTGGGGTCAGGGCCTGCCACTCCAGGAGTTGCTGGGATGGGAATTCCATGGCCATGGAAGGAAACATCGGAGCACGGAAGGGTTTGGTGACCACGGTGGTTTATTCACCAAAAAACCCCTAAGTTTTGCCGATTTTAGGAAAGGAGGATCCAGCTGTAGGAAAGAGGAGTTTTCCCCTAAAACAGAGAATTATGGGATTTTGGGGAGCTGCAGATTGGAGTGGGGTCAGGAATTGCCGCTCCAGGTGTTCCCAGAGTGGGAATTCCGTGGTTATGGAAAGGAAACATCGGGGCATGGAAGGGTTTGGTGACCATGGTTGTTTATTCACCAATAAAAACAAAGAGATTTTTGCTGATTTTAGGAAAGGGGTATCCAACTGTAGGAAAGGGGGATCCAACTGTAGGAAAGGGGAGTTTTCCCCTAAAACACAGAATTATGGGGTTTTGGGGAGCTGCAGGTCGGGGTGGGGTCAGGAACTGCCCCTCCAGGGGTTCCCAGGGGTGGGAATTCCATGGCCATGGAAGGAAACATTGGAGAACAGAAGGGTTTGGTGACCACGGCTGTTTATTCACTAATAAAAAACAAAAGAGATTTTTCCTGATTTTAGGAAAGGGGGATCCAACTGTATCTTGGGAACTGCCACTCCAGGCGTTCCCAGGGGTTCCCAGGGGTTCCCAGGGGTTCCCAAGGGTGGGAATTCCATGGCCATGGAAGGAAACATTGGAGCACGGAAGGCTTTGGTGACCACAGTTGTTTATTCATCGATAAAAACAAAGAGATTTTTTCTGATTTTAGGAAAGGGGCATGTGATGTTAGGAAGGGGGATCCAATTGCAGGAAAAGGGGGATTTGTGTGGATTTGGGGTCACAGGGCCGTGCCCTGCTCGGGCGCCTTGGCCTCGCGGGGGTAGAACTCGGCCAGGATGTTCTCGGGGATGCGCTTGAGGAGCTGCTTGGGGAAGATGCGCAGGAGCTGCCAGCCGATGTCCAGCGACTCGAAAATGCTCCGGTTCTCGTAGGGACCTGCCGGGAGAGCGGGGAGGAGGATTTGGGGCTGCCGCAGGGGCTCTCCCAGATCCCAAATCCCCGGTTTAGGGCTGAAAGCTCACCCTGGGAGATGAAGTGCTTCTCGAACTTGTGCAGGAACTCCAGGTACAGGAGGTCGTCGGCGGACAGGGCCTCCTCGCCCACCACGGCCTTCATGGCCTGCACGTCCTTCCCGATGGCGTAGCAGGCGTACTGCGGGATCCAGGGATTCCAGAGAGGGATTGGGATGGGCACGGACCCCACAGCCCGGCCAGTGCCACCAAGGGACACTTCCCACCAGCCTGGGTGGCTACAAGGTCCATCCCAACCTGGCCTTGGACACTGCCAGGAGCAGCCACAGCAAATCTGGCAATTCCAGCCCAGCCCCTGCCCACCTTCCCAGCCAGGAATTCCTTGCCAAGATCCCAGCCCAATCTCCCCTTTCCCAGTGGGAGCCATTCCCTGCCTCCTGTCCCTGCAGGCCTTGTCCCCAGTCCCTCTGCAGCTCTCCTGGAGCCCCTTCAGGGATTCTGAGGATTCCCTGCAATTTTCCCTTCTCCAGGGGAACATTCCCAGTTCTTCCAGCCTGTCTCCAGAATCCTGGAATGGTTTGGATTGGAAGGACCTTAAATCCCATCCCATTCCCAACTCATCCATGTTTAGGGACACCTTCCCCTACCCTGGGTTGCTTCTGTGTCCTGTCCATCCACGACACAGAAGCAACCCTCCATCCCATCCCATCCCATCCCATCCCATCCCATCCCATCCCATCCCAATTCCGTCTCATCCCAAATCATCCCAATTCCTTCCCATCCCAATTCTGTTCCATCCATCCATCCATCCTGGCCTTGGACATTCCCAGGGATTTGGGGCAGCCCCAGCATTGCCGGGTGTTGTCACCTTCCCTGGATTCTCCCCCCCAATCCCAATAAAGGCAGATGAAGATTTGGGATTTAGGACACCCTGTGGAGCTCAGTGGGATCCAATCCTGGATCATCCCAAAATCAGAGCTCCCCTCTGGAATCCCGTGGCCATTCCTGGTGCTCTGAGCTCTTGCCTTCTCCAGGAGAATATTCCCAGCTCTCCCAGCCTGGCTCCAGAGCAGCTCCAGCCCTCAGAGCATCTCCAGAACCTCCTCTGGAATTGCTCCAGCAGCTCCAAACCCTCCTGAATTTGGGATCTGGGAGCAGGAGCAGCTCCACGGGTGGGGCCTCACCTGAGCCTCCCCAAACGGGGGGACAGGAGGGCCCTGAAGTGACAAACGCCACCCCCCGAGTGTCCCCAAGCCCTCACCAGCTGGTTGGACACGTCTCCATGGTCCTTCCTGGTCATTCCCTCTCCGATGGCCGATTTCATCAGCCGGGACAGGGACGGCAGAACGTTGATGGGGGGGTAAATCTGTAGGGTGGGAGCGACCCCAATGTCCCGCCAGCCCTGGGGGACCCCACCCCTACCCCCGCTGTTCCCGGGGCTTTCCAGCCCTGGTGGGTGCTGGATCCACCCCTGGATCCACCCTGGATCCATCCCGGGAGATGGGAATGGGTTTGGGAACGAACCTGGCGGTTGTGGAGCTGCCGGTCCACGTAGATCTGGCCCTCGGTGATGAAGCCAGTCAGGTCAGGGATGGGGTGGGTGATGTCTGGGGTGGGGGGACAGAGGGGTTGTGAGTCCCCAAAGTGGGGCTGGCAGCTCAGCTGGACACGGGACAACGCTGTGTGACATCTGTGGGGTCACCGGGGCAGCACAGACCCCACTGGGGTCAGTAGGGGGCGATTTGGTGTCACCCCATTGTCCTGGAGCTGGGGGACCCCAAATCTGGGTGGTTGGGATGGCACAGAGGGGTTTTGGTGTCACCTCCCTTGCCCAGGGACCCCAAATGTGAGGGGATGGGGTGGCTTGGATGGCACAGATGGGTTTTGATGTCACCTCTCTGTCCTGGAGCTGGGGACCCCAAATGGGAGGGTTTTGGTGTCACCCCCTTGTCCTGGAGTGACCCCAAATGGGAGGGGATGGGGTGGTTGGGATGGCACAGAGGGGTTTTGGTGTCACCTTCCTGAAGCCAAGGACCCCAAACTGGAGTTGTTGAAGGGTTGTTGAGGACATGGAGAACTCTCAGACCCTAAATCACCCCAGCACCCTTAACCACCCCAGGAGCTCCCAAAACCGGGTAAAACCAGTGCAATTTGGGATTTCCCAACCCTGCGATTTCCCAGAGTGGGGAAATCCCGATCTCCTATGGTATTCCCGGCCCTACTGTGTCCCGCTGACCGTCGTTGGGCATGGTGAGGATGGGGATCTGGGTGATGGAGCCGTTCCTGCCCTCCACGCGCCCGGCGCGCTCGTAGATGGTGGCCAGGTCCGTGTACATGTATCCAGGGAAGCCGCGGCGGCCTGGGACCTCCTCCCTGGCTGCCGACACCTGCGGGGTTGGGGGGGTCAGGGCACCCCAAACATCCCAAAAACCACAGGGGGCACGGGGGACACGAGTGTTCTGAGTAGTCCAGGCAACCCCAAAAATCCCAGGTGTGCTCGCTGCTCCAAACACCCCAAAACCCCAAGAACTGTGGAAACCCCAGGTGTGCTGAGGATTCTGAGCATCCCAAACACCCCCAAACACCCCCAAAACCATGGGAAGCATGAGGGACACAAGTGTCCTGAACAGCCCAGGCAACCCCAAAAATCCCAGGTGTGCTGGGTGCCCCAAACACCCCAAAACCCTCAAAACTCACGGAAACCCCAGGTGTTCTGAGGATTCTGAGCACCCTGATTACCCCAAACACCCCGTGAACCCTGGGCTCTCCTTGTCACTCTGAGCACCTCAAACACCCCAAGGATCCTGGGCTGTCCTTGTCACCCCAAACACCCCAAGGACCCTGGGAACCCCAGCTGTCCTTGTCACCCTGAGCACCTCAAATGCTCCAAGAACCCTGGGCTGTCCTTGTTACCCTGGGCACCCCGAGCCCCCCAAGGACCCTGGGTTGTCCTTGTCACCCCAAATCCCCCCCCAAATCCCCCAAGGACTCTGGAATGCCCAGCTGTCCTTGTCACCTCAAACCCCCCCAAGGACCCTGGGTTGTCCTTGTCACCCTGAGCACCCCAAACCTCCCAAGAACCCCAAACACTTCCCACTGTCTTTGTCACCCTGAGCACCCCAAGGTCCCCAGGAACTCTGGGCTGTCCTTGTCACCCCAAATCCCTCAAGGACCCTGGGCTGTCCTTGTCACCCTGAGCACCCCAAGTGCCCCAAGGACCCTGTCACCTCCAGCTGTCCTTGTCACCCCAAACTCTCCCAGGACCCTGGGTTGTCCTTGTCACCCCAAGTCCCCCAAGTCCCCTGTCACCTCCAGCTGTCCTTGTCACCCCAAACTCCTCAAGGACCAATCCCCCAAGGACCCTGGGATGCCCAGCTGTCCTTGTCACCTCAAACCCCACCAAGGACCCTGGGTTGTCCTTGTCACCCTGAGCACCCCAAACCCCATGACCACCCCTGCTGACCTCTCTGAGGGCCTCAGCGTAGGAGCTCATGTCGGTCAGGATGACCAGCACGTGCTTCTCGCACTGGTATGCCAGGAACTCGGCCGTGGTCAGTGCCAGCCGCGGCGTGATGATCCTCTCAATCCTGTGGGACACCCCCAGTTAGTGCAATTAGGCTAATTAGTGCCCACAGGGCAGGTTTGGGGTGCCTGGGAAGGAAGGGAGAGAGGGAAGAAGGAAGGAGAAGGAGAAGGAGAAGGAGAAGGAGAAGGAGAAGGAGAAGGAGAAGGAGAGAAGAAAGAAGGAGGAGAAGGAGGAAGAAAGGAAAGGAAAATGGAAGAAAATGGAGAGAAAAGAAAAAGAAAGAAAGAAAAAGGAGAGAGGAGGAAGAGAGACAAGGGAAAGACAGAAAAGGAGAAGGGAAGAAGGGTAGAAGGGGAGAAGGAGAAAGGAAAAGAAGAAGGAAAAGAAGAAGGAAGGAAGGAGGAAGAGGAGGAAGGAAAAAGGGAGAAGGAAAAAGAAGAAGGAGAAAGGAAAAGAAAAAGGAAGGAGAAAGGAAAAGAAAAAGGAAGGAGAAAATAAGAGAGGAGGGAGAAGGAGGAGGAGAATGGAAAAGGAGAAGGGAGAAGGAAGAAAATGAAGAAGGAAGAAAAGGAGGAGGGAAAAGAGAGAGGGAAGAGGGAGAGGAGGAAGAAAAAGTAGGAGAAAGAAGGAGAAAAAAGAGGAGGAGGAGAGAGAAGGAAGAATGAGGAGACAAAAGGAGAAAGGAGGAGGAGGAGGAGGTTAGGGAAGGACAGGAAGAGGAGGAGGAGGAGGCAGGGCTGTGCCTCACGTGGGGTCGTTGGCCAGGTTGAGGAAGAGGCACACGTTCTCCATGGAGCCGTTCTGCTCGAAGTCCGACTTGAAGAACCGCGCGGTCTCCATGTTCACCTGCGGGACACGTGGTCAGCGGGTGGGGACACGGGGACATGGGGACACAGGGACAGGGTGGTTCTGGGGTCACCTGGGACGTCCTGACTCACCCCCATGGCTGCAAAGACGATGGCGAAGTTGTCCTCATGGAAATCCACCACATCCTTGGATTTCTTCACCAGCCCGGCCTGGCGGCAGATCTGTGCTGCAATCTGAGGGAGGGGACAGAGGTGGCAGCAGGGACAGGGACAGGGGTGGCAGCCGGGGCACCCTGGAGCAGCCATGGCCCCTGTGGGACCAGGACGTGGCCCCACGGGCTGCGGCCAGTGGGGTGTCCCCCCTCTTCCTGTGTCCTGCCTTGTCCCTTGTCACTCCTGACAGGTCAGGGATGGCTCCCATCACATCCCACCCTATGGATCCTATCCCATGCCATCCCATGGATCCTATCCCATGAATCCTGTCCCATCCCATCCCATCCCAATTGCATCCCATGCCATGGATCCCATCCTCTCCTAATCCCATCCCATGCCAAGGATCCCACACCATGGACCCCATGCCATGCCATCCCATTCCACCCCATGGATCCCATCCCATCCCACCCCGTCCCATTTTGTCCCAGTTTGTCCCATCCCATCCCCATCCCCATCCCCATCCCCATCCCCATCCCCATCCCATCCATCCCATCCCATCCCATCCCATCCCCATGCCATGCCATGCCATGCCATGCCGTGCCATGCCATCCCATCCCCATCCCATCCCCTCCCATCCCATCCCATCCCATCCCCATGCCATGCCATGCCGTGCCATGCCATCCCATCCCCATCCCATCCTCATCCCATCCCATCCCCTCCCATCCCATCCCCATCCCATCCCCATCCCATCCCATCCCATTGCATCCCATCCTCATCCCATCCCATCCCATCCCATCCCTCTCTGGAATTCCCAGCCCCTCCTGCTGTCCCACACTCATGGGGACATGAGAAGGGTCTGGAGCCCCCCCCAGTCCCTGAATTTAGGGGGATCCCTAAACCATCCCAGATCCTCCTGCACAGCACACAGCAATTGCTGTGCCAACAGGGAAACTGAGGCACGAGTTGACAGCAGCTTCCCGACTCCAGGAGCGGGGATCCGACCTTCCCAACCCCTCCATCCTCCTCCTCCCCCAATCCCACCTCGTTGTGGGGCAGCCCGGCGGCGGAGAAGATGGGGATTTTCTGTCCGCGGGCGATGCTGTTCATGACGTCGATGGGAGAGATCCCGGTCTGGATCATCTCCTCGGGATAGATCCGCCCGTGGGGGTTGATGGGCTGGCCTGGAGCGGGAAATGGAGAGATCATGGAATGGTGGGGTTGGGTGGGGCCTTGAACCCATCCAGTCCCACCCAGGGACAATTCCCACCATCCCGGGGTGCTCCAAGCCCTGTCCAGCCTGGCCTGGGACATTTCCAGGGATGGGGGGGAGGAGGATGCAGGGATGGCCCGGGTTGGTGGCAAAAATTGGGAAGGAAGTTCTGGAGATGAGCAGGGAGCAGCTCTGGTGTGGGACAGGAACCATCCCAGCAGTTGGACACCCTCCTGGAGCATCCTGGTGGGGATGGATGGATGGATGGATGGATGATGGATGGATGATGGATGGATGGATGGATGGATGGATGATGGATGGATGGATGGATGATGGATGGATGGATGATGGATGGATGGATGGATGGATGGATGGATGGATGGAAGGATGGATGGATGGATGATGGATGGATGATGGATGGATGGATGGATGGATGGATGGATGGATGATGGATGGATGGATGGATGGATGGATGGATGGATGGATGGATAATGGATGGATGGATGGATGGATGGATGGATGGATGGATGATGGATGGATGGATGGATGATGGATGGATGGATGATGGATGGATGGATGGATGGATGGATGGATGGATGGAAGGATGGATGGATGGATGATGGATGGATGATGGATGGATGGATGGATGGATGGATGGATGATGGATGGATGGATGGATGGATGGATGGATGGATAATGGATGGATGGATGGATGGATGGATGGAAGGATGGATGGATGGATGATGGATGGATGATGGATGATGGATGGATGATGGATGGATGGATGATGGATGGATGGATGGATGGATGGATGATGGATGGATGGATGGATGGATGGATGATGGATGGATGGATGGATGATGGATGGATGATGGATGGATGGATGGATGATGGATGGATGGATGGATGGATGGATGGATGGATGATGGATGGATGGATGGATGGATGATGGATGGATGATGGATGGATGGATGGATGATGGATGGATGATGGATGGATGGATGGATGGATGGATGGATGGATGATGGATGATGGATGGATAGATGGATGGATGGATGGATGGATAGATGGAGGGATGGATGGATGGATGGATGATGGATGGATGGATGATGGATGGATGGATGGATGGATCCATGGATCCATGGATGGATGGATGGATCCATGTATGGATGCAGGGATGTGATGACACCACAGGACATGGTGACACCATCAGGGCACGTTGTCACCCCAATTCCAGCCCATCCCAAGCCCCTCCCACATTCCCTCAGAGCCGTCACCGTTGATGTCCAGGAAGTCCTCGGCCATCACCGGGGGGCCGCTGTCGATGGGTTTGGCGGAGCCGTTGAACACCCGGCCTGTGGGGACACAGGGACTGTCCCTGACTGAGGCCACCAGCTGGGGGTGGCACTCCCATGGCCCTGGGACATGGTCCCCATCCCGATCCCGGGATGTGCCTTCCACCCCAGCCAGGACATAGCGACCGGGGGCTGTGGGGCAGGAAGTGTCACCTGTGGGCTGGGTGACACTGCAGGTGCCAGCACATGGGGACAAGACCCCGGTGTCCCCCCATGTCCCAGCCACCTCCATCACCTTGTCCCCATGTCCCCATGCTCCTAGCCACCCCTGTCACTTCCCTCTTGGGGTCCTGGGTTCCCAGGCAGGGGGTGACACCAAGACCCCCATACAGGCACAGGGGACAGGACCTTGTCCCCATCATCCTTTCCATGTCCCCATGTCCCCAGTCACCCCCATCACCCTGTCCCCGTGTCCCAATGTCCCCATCACCCCCATCACTCTGTCCCTGTGTCCCCATGTCCCCATCACCCCCATACCTCTGCTCCTGCGTCCCTGTGTCCCCATCACCCTGCCCCTGTGTCCCCACGTCCCCAGCAGTCCCTCCTCGCAGTCCCTGCGTCCCCATCACCCCCATCACCCTGTACCCATGTCCCCATCACCCCACCTTTGTGTCCCCATGTCCCCATCACCCTGTCACTGTGTCCCCACATCCCCATCACCCCACCTTTGTGTCCCCATGTCCCCATACTCCTGTTCCCATGTCCCAATGTCCCCCGTCACCCTGTCCTTGTGTCCCCATCACCCCCATCACCCTCTCCCTGTGCCCCCATGTCCCCATCACCCCCATACCTCTGTCCCCATGTCCCCATCACCCTCTCCCTGTGTCCCCATGTCCCCATCACCCCCATACCTCTGTCCCCATGTCCCCATCACCCTCTCCCTGTGTCCCCATGTCCCCATCACCCCCATACCTCTGTCCCCATGTCCCCATCACTCTGTCCCTGTGTCCCCATTTCCCCATCACCCCCATCACTCTGTTCCCGTGTCCCCTTGTCCCCATCACCCCATCCCTGTGTCCCCATCACTCTGTCCCCGTGTCCCCACATCCCCAGTCACTCCCCTCTCTCAGTCCTCATGTCTCCATCACCCCCATCACCCTGTCCCTGTGTCCCCGTGTCCCCACGTCCCCAGTCACTCCCCTCTCTCAGTCCCCAGCTCAGTGGGGTGACACCAACCCCCCCAAACCGTCCCCAGGGAGGGGACGCGGCCTCACCGCTCGCTCTCAGCCTCATCGACCGCCTCGGAGCCGCGGTGGCATCGATCGCGACAAAGCCACGGTTCCCTGACCTCGCCTCGGTGGCTGCCGCCCCCTGCCCGCCCCCCCTGTCCCCCACGGGACGCGGTGGCGGTGCGGGGACACGGCAGCGGTGTCACAGCGCATCAGGGTGATGGCAGCGCCGAGCGCCGAGCACGAAAGGTCAGCGGCCACGGCAGCGGCGACTCCCGGGGGACACCGAGAGCGGCGGGGGGGGTGACACCGGGGGGGCGACACGGGGGAGGTGACACCGCCCCCTGCCCTTTGCGGGAGCGCGACGGGAGCGCGGCGGACACGCGGCCCCCGTGGGTGAGGGGACAGCGCAGGGACAGCGCAGGGACAGCGCAGGGACAGGGCCACCCTCCGGCCCGACCCCGAGTGACCCCCGGGGGGGGGATTGGGGAATTCGGGGGACATGAGGGGACAGGGGGGGCTCAGAGCTGGATCCCAGAGAGGTTTGGGGGGGAAGGGACCTTAAATCGCGTCGATGTCACCTCCCTGCCATGGGGACACCTTCCACTGTGCCAGGTGGCTTCAGGTGCTGGCCAGCCCGGGCTGGGACACTGCCAGGGGTGGGGTGACAGGATCAGGGACAGGGTGACACCGCCAGGGATGTGGTGACACCGCCAGGGACAGGGTGAAACTGCCAGGGATGGGGTGACACCTCCAGGGTAGGGGTGACACCACCAGGAAGGGGGTGACATCGCCAGGGACGGGGTGACAGCGCCAGGGACGGGGTGACACTTTCAGGGATGAGGTGACGCTTTCAGGGATGCGGTGACACCACCAGGGATAAGGTGGCACCTCCAGGGACAGGGTGACACCGCCAGGGACGGGGTGACATCTCCAAGGATGCGGTGGCACCGCCAGAGACAGGGTGAGGTTTTCAGGGATGGGGTGACACTTATAAGGACAAGGTGACACTAGCAGAGATGCGGTGGCACCTCCAGGGACAGGGTAGCACCACCAGGGACGGGGTGACACTTTCAGGGATCGGGTGACACTTGCAGGAACGGGGTGACAGCTCCAGGAGTGGGGTGACACTAGCAGGGATGCGGTGACACCACCAGGGATAGGGTGACACCACCAGGGTTGGGGTGACACCTCCAAGGATGCGGTGGCACCGCCAGGGACAGAGTGATGCTTTCAGGGATCGGGTGACACTTGCAGGGGCAGGGTGGCACCGCCAGGGACAGGGTGGCACCGCCAGGGACAGGGTGGCACCGCCAGGGACGGGGCGATGTTTTCAGGGATGGGGTGACACTTATAAGGACGGGGTGACACTAGCAGGGATGTGGTGGCACCTCCAGGAACAGGGTGGCACCTCCAGGGACGGGGTGACACCGCCAGGGACAGGATGACTCCTCCAAGGATGCGGCGGCACTTTCAGGAACGCGGAAACACCGCCAGGGACAGGTGTCACCTCCAAGGACACGGTGGCACCGCTAGGGACAGGGTGATGTTTTCAGGGACGGGGTGACACCTCCAGGGACGGGGTGACACCGCCAGGGATGAAGTGACCCGCCGGGGGTGGGGTGACACCTCCAAGGGACGGGGTGACATCGCCAGGGACGGGGTGACACCTCCACGGATGGGGTGACCCTGCCAGAGTTGGGGTGACACTTTCAGGGACGCGGTGACTCTTTCAGGGATGAGGTGACACCGTCAGGGATGGGGCAACACCTCCGGGGACGCGGTGACACTTCCAGGGACGGGGTGACACTTCCAGGAACCCGGTGCCACCTCACCTGGCCTCCTTTCCCCGCCCACCCCTCGCGTTTCCCGGGGTCGCCGCGCACAGAGGACGCGGGGGCCGGTCCCGCCGTGTCCCAGGTGGCCGTCACAGCTCGGAGGTGGCCCGGGGACGTTCTCAGCCCCAGAGATGAACCCTAAATGTCCCCAAATCTCGGTGCCAGCCGTGCCCGGGCTCACCCAGCATGTCCTCGGACACCGGCGTGCGCAGGATGTCCCCCGTGAACTCGCACGTTGTGGCCTTGGCATCGATGCCCGATGTGCCCTCAAACACCTGCGGGGTGCCCGGCGAGGGCAATTAACCAGGATTAATTAACGCTCTGTGGGGCGCGAGGTGACCCGCGCTCACCCCAACACCCCCCCCCCCCCCGGGAGGGGACATAAAAAAGGGACAAAGTTTGGGGTTAAAAACCCTTCTTGAGGGGATTTGGGGGGATGTTTTTTGGGGTGGACGGTGAATGCCGCGCCAGCGGGAAAAGCCTTTTGATCCGGATAATATTTGACATCATTTGCGTTAATTAACCCCCGGCTCGCCGCTTTAATTAGAGCCGGGTGGCCCCTGGGAGCAGGGGGGAGCTGGGGACGGTGACAGGTGACACTCGGAGCCCCCCAGGTGGCTGCGGGTCACCCCCAACAATGCTGAGGCTGCAAAAATCTCCTTTTCTCGCTTTTTTTCCTTCCTTTCATCCCTTTCCCCCCCCTTTTTCCCCCTGCCCGAGCCTGACTCCCTAATAGGATTAAAAGGGCAGCCCCGAGGCGCAGGTGGCACCAGAGCCGCGACTTTGGGGCAGCTGCGCCACCCCCCGGGCCCCCGCAAGGACATCTGGGGGGGATCCGGGCTAATTAGGGGGGATTTGACCCCAAACAGCCCCCGCGGCTTTGGGGACACCCCTGTGGCCACTGGTGTCCCAGGGCTGGTGGCTTTGGGGACCCCCCAGCCAGGGCTCGTGGCTTTGGGGACACCCCAGCTGTCACTGTGGTACCAGGGCTGGTGGATTTGGGGACACCCCAGCAGCCTCTGGTGTCCCAGGGCTCGTGGCTTTGGGGACACCCTGGTAGCCCCTGGTGTCCCAGGGCTGGTGGCTCTGGGGACACCCCAGCCAGGGCTCGCGGCTTGGGGGACACCCCTGCAGCCCCTGCGGTCCCAGGGCTGGTGGCTCTGGGGACAATGGCCTGGCTGTCCCAGGGTTGATGGCTTTGGGGGGTGGTGGCAGCGCGGTCCTGGGATGGAGCAGGGGGTCAGTGTGGGGCTGTGGGGTGAGGGAGGGGACACGGCCTGTCCCAGGACACCCCTGGCCATCCCAGGACACCCCTGGCCATCCCAGGACATTGTCACCTGTGCCAGGACCACTCCCAGAACACCCCCGCCCATCCCACGACATTGTCACCTGTCCCAGGACATTTGTCCCAGGACACTGCCCAATCCCAGGACACCCCTGACCATCCCACGACACTGTCACCTGTCCCAGGACATTGCCCATCCCAGGACACCCCTGGCCATCCCACGACACTGTCACCTGTCCCAGGACATTGCCCATCCCAGGACACTCCTGGCCATCCCAGGACATCAGTCCCGCCCCTAAAGAGCACAGGGACACGAGCCCGACAGCCACCACTGGAGGGGGACAGAGCCACGGGACAGAGCCCTGGGACAGGGACCGAGCCCTGGGACAGGGACAGAGCCTTGGGACAGGGACCCGGGACAGGGACCGAGACCGGGACAGCGACCAGGGACAAGAACAGAGCTCCGGGACAGGGACTGAGCCCTGGGACAGGGACCCGGGACAGAGACAGAGCCCGGGGACAGAGCCAGAACCCTGGCCCGCGTAGCCCCCGCATGTCGCCATGTGGCGGTGTCGCCGTGTCCCCGCGGTGTCGCCGTGTCCCCGCCGTGTCCCCGCCGTGTCCCCGCCGTGTCGCCGTGTCCCCGCGGTGTCGCCGCGTCCCCGCGCTCACCTGCACGATGGCCTTGGCGCCCATCACCTCCAGCACCTGCCCGCTGCGGGTGGTGCCATTGGGCAGGGTGAAGTTCACGATCTCGGCGTACTGCGCGAACTGTGGGGACAGCGACACGGGCAAACGGGGTGGCGGTGTCCCCTCTGTCCCCTAACCCTAACCCTGTCCCCCCAGCCCTGCCTGCTCCGCTGGTGCTGCCTCAGTTTCCCCTCCTGTGGTCCTGAAGCCACCAAACTCTGAAGTGGGGACACACCGGGTGGCAAAGGCATGGCAGGGGGTGGCGCTGCCTGTCCCTGTCACTGTCCCATCCTGGAGCTGCCCCCGGGCTGTGGCACCGCTCTGTGCCTCAGTTTCCCCGATGTCGAGGGGATTTTCCACTCTCGAGGAGGTGACACCAAATGCTGTCACAGCCAGAGCCACCACCAGGGTGCCACCACCTCCGAGGCACAGGTGTCCCCATGAGGCACGAGTGGCACTCATGGGGACACTGCAGGGTGCAGCGAGGGGACGTTTGTGTTGAGGGGACATGTCCGGCTCTGGGGACAATGGCCGATGTCAGGACTCTCCTCCTCCTCCTTTGATTAGCTGATTAATAAATAAATGACAGGGCCATGGAAATGTGACACCAGGTGACAAAACCCTCTGGGTGTCACCCAGGTGGCCCCAGCCCAGACAGGAGAGCGGGACAAGGGACAGGGAGGGTGACAGCAAGGGGACACGGGGGTTGTGGAGTGGCCCCGCTCAGAGCAGGGGCCATGTGGGAGATGGGACTGGGACAGGGGACAGGGGACAGGGGACAGGGGACAGGGGATAGAGCTCGGAAAGCGGACAGGAGATGGGGGACAGGGGACAGGAGCCAGAGCTGGGAAAGGGGACAGGGGACAAGGGACAAGGGACAGGGGACAGACCTGAGAAAGGGAACAGGGGATGGGGGACAGGGGACAGAGCTGGGAAAGGGGACAGGAGATGGGGGACAGGGGACAAGGGACAGGGGACAGAGCTGGGAAAGGGGACAGGAGATGGAGGACAGGGGACAAGGGATAGAGGACAGAGCTGGGAAAGGGAACCATGGATGGGATACAGGGGACAGGAGCCAGAGCTGGGAAAGGGGACAGGGGACAAGGGATAGAGGACAGAGCTGGGAAAGGGGACAGGAGATGGGGGACAGGGGACAAGGGATAGAGGACAGAGCTGGGAAAGGGGACAGGAGATGGGGGACAGGGGACAAGGGATAGAGGACAGAGCTGGGAAAGGGGACAGGGGACAGAACTCAGGCAGGTGCACAGGACACAGGGACAGGAGGCAGAGCTTGGTCAGGGACACAGGGGACAGGGCACAGGGACACAGGGGACAGGGGCTGAGCTCGGGCAGGGACACGGGGGACACGGGGGACAGGGTGCCCGGACCGAGCGCACACATGTCCCACGGAATGTCCCCCGTGTCCCCAGTGTCCCCCCTGTGGGTGCACACGCCACTCGCACAGGGACATGAGGACACCGGGACATGGGGACACGGGGACATGGGGACACGGGGACATGGGGACATGGGGACACGGGACACGCCACCCGCACGGGCAGGCGGGGACAGGGCTCTGCTGCCGAGCGCGTCCAGAGGAGGGAGCTCGGACCCCAGAGAGGAGGGGACAGCCCAGGGGACAGCCCAGGGGACAAGGGACAAGAGGGATGGCACAGGGAAAGGGGACAGCCCAGGGGACAGGAGATGGAGAAGAAGGAACAGGGGGACAGCCCAGGGGACTGGGGACAAGGGACAGGAGGGATGGCACAGGGACAGGGGACAGCCCAGAGGACAAGAGATGGAGAAGAAGGGACAGGGGACAGCCCAGGGGTCAGGAGGGAGGGGACAGAGGACAGGTGACAGGGGACACACTCCCCCCATCGCACCCTCAGCACTGCAGTCCCCGCACAGCCCCAGGTGCCACCCCCAAGCTGTCCCCATGTCACCCAGGGTCCTACCTTGACGTTGTCCAGCACCACCAGGGGCCCGTTGACACCGCACACTGTCCTGTAGGCTGGGGGAGGTGACACCGTCAGTCCCCAGGGCCACGGGGCCACCCGGGCGGTGCCACCCCCACGTCCTGTCCCTTCCTGTGTCCTTTTCCCTGTGCCGATGACACCCCGAGTGACCAGTGGTGGCCCGACTGGACACTGTCACTCAGTGGTGACACGGCACTCGGGGCTTGTGTCACCTTCTGGAGCTGTCCCCAAGTGCCCGGCGGGGATGTCACCGATGGGAATGCCACCAGGGCCAGCAGGGAAGTGTCCCCTTGTCCCCTCCCAGTCACGCCTTGCCCGGGGATCCTGCCTGGCCCGGGGGGATGCGGGGACACTTCCCAAAGTCCCCGCGGTGCTGGGGGACACTGGGGACACCCTGGGGCGACATTGGGGTGGGGAAATGAGGGTGTGACCCCGCGGGAACAGCACTGGGACAGGCGGTGACAAACGGGGACAGGGGACAAGGGTGACAAATGAGGGTGAAGCTGGATAGAAACACGGAGAGAGACAGTGGATCCAGGGAATTTCGGGATTGGGATTCTGGGAATGCCGGGATTGGGATGGGATCCCGGGATTGGGATGGGATCCTGGGAATGCCGGAATTGGGATCAGATCCCAGGATTGGGATGGGATCCTGGGAATGCCGGGATTGGGATCAGATCCCGGGATTGGGATGGGATCCTGGGAATAATGGGATTTGGATGGGACCCCCTGGAATGCTGGGGTTGGGATGGGATCCCAGGACTGGGATGGGATCCCGGGAAATTCCAGGATTGGATCCCAGGAATAATGAGTTTGGGATGGGATCCTGGGAATAATGGGATAGGGATTGGATCCCAGGACTGGGATGGGATCCTGGGAATGCCGGGGTTGGGATGGGATCCCAGGAATAATGGGATTTGGATTGGGTCCCCGGGAATGCCAGGGATTGGGTCCTGGGAATAATGGGATTGGGATGGGATTTTGAGAACGGCGGGATTGGGATCAGGTCCCGGGAACCCTGGGACTGGGACTGGCTCCCAGGGGTGCCGGGTTTGGGATCAGCTCCAGGGAGTGCTGGGATTGGGATGGGACCCTGGGAGCGCCAGAATTGGGATCGGGTCCCAGGAGTGCCGGGAGTGGGATCAGCTCCGGGGAATGCCAGGATTTGGATCAGCTCCTGGAAGTGCCGGGTTTAAGATCAATTCCCGGGAGTGGCAGGATCAGGATCAGCTCCCGGGAACGCCGGGACTGGGATCAGCTCCCGAGAATGCCGGGGTTTGGGATCGGCTCTGGGGAATGCCGGGATTTGGGATCGGCTCCCGGGAATGCCAGGTTTGGGTTGAATTCCCGGGAATGCCGGAGTTTGGGATCGGCTCTCGGGAACGCCGGGGTTTGGGATCAGCTCTGGGGAACGCCGGGGTTTGGGATGAATTCCCGGAAACGCCGGGGTTTGGGATCTCCGGGTTTTGGGCTCGGCCCCCGGCGGGCGCAGGTGCGGGGGAGCTGATCCGGCTCTAAGACGCGCCTTGATCATCCCGGGAAGTGCCAAAGCCCCGAGCGCTGCCCCGGCCCCGCTGACCCCGCCGGGCCCTTTCATGCCCTGCCCCCGCTCCCACACCGGGCTCCGGCATTCCCACCTGATCCTAATAGGATCGGAGAGGCCGGGCCAGCTGCAGGGCGTCCCGCGGGGACGGGGGTCCCTGATGTCCCCGTGCTGACGGTGGCGTTGTCCCCCGGCCGGGACAGCCCAGGGAGGTCATTCCTGGGGATGGGTCCCGTTTCTCCCGCTGGTCACAGCCCAATCCTGGACACCCCACGGGGCACTGTGGGGTCACCCCGATGGCACAACGGGACCCTCGGTGTCCCCTCCCCTCAGCCAGGGCAGTGCCAGCGGTCCCAGACATTCCAGCTATGGGATCTTGGAATTATAGACTGGTTTAGGTTGGGAATTCCTTAAAGCCCAGGAATTCCACCCCTGGCACCTTCCACTGTCCCAGATTGATCCAAGCTCCAATGTCCAGCCTGGCCTTGGGCACTGCCAGGGATCCAGGGGCAGCCACAGCAAATCTGGGAATTCCAGCCCAGCCAGCAATTCCTTGCCAAGATCCCAGCCCAATCTGCCCTTTCCCAGTGGGAGCCATTCCCTGCCTCCTGTCCCTGCAGGCCTTGTCCCCAGTCCCTCTCCAGCTCTCCTGGAGCCCTTTAGGACTCTGAGGATTCCCTGGATTTTTCCCTTCTCCAGGGGAACATTCCCAGTTCTCCCAGCCTGGCTCCAGAGCAGAGGGGCTCCAGCCCTGGGAACAGCTCTGGAATCTGCTCTGGATTTGCTCCAGGAGCTCCACACCCCCCTGAATTTGGCATCTGGGAGCTGGAGCACCTCTGCAGGTTGGGTGTCCCCTGAACAGAGCACAGGGACAGAATTCCCACCTTTCCCAGCTCCATCTTCTCCCAGGGCTGTCCCCAATCCTTTCCCCTCCAGCCTGGGTTTGTGCCCCATCCCAGTTCCTCCTGCCCTTGGCCTTGCAGAGCCCCATGAGGTTCTCCCAGCCCCACTCCAGGAGCTAATTAGCTAATTAGCCTTCTCTGCCCTTCCCCAATTAGGGCCGGCTCCTGCTGCTCGCTCATTCGGGCTCAGGAGGGGCCAGCACACCGGGAGCCCCCTCCCCGCCTTTTGTCCCCTTTATTCCCAAAGTGACCATCCGGCCTTTTATTCCCGTTCCCACCTCCCTTCTCCTGGCTGGAGTTTATGGCATTTTTAATTTTCAGCAGCCCCAAAGTCACCCCCATGGGACAGGGACGTTGGGAGTGTCACTTGTCCCGGCATGGGGGTGTCCAGTGAGGTACCAGTGGCTGCCACCCCCTTGAGGACAATCCTGGTGACCCTCCAACCCCACTGGAATGGCTCTTCCCATCAGGAATGTGGGAGCCTCTGGCAGCACTGGTGTCACCAGGAGTGACATTGGATCATCAGCTGAGCTCTTGGGTGGTATGGAAATCCATCCTTAGTCCATCCGTCCATCCATCCATCCATCCATCCATCCATCCATCCATCCATCCACCATCCATCCATCCATCCATCCATCCATGCATCCATGCATGCATCCATGCATGCATGCATCCATCCATCATCCATCCATCCATCCATCCATCCATCCATCCATCCATCATCCATCCATTCATCCATCCATCCATCCATCCATCCATGGATCCATGGATCCATGGATCCATGGATCCATCCATCCATCCATCCATGGATCCATCCATCCATCCATCATTCATCCATCCATCCATCCATCCATCCATCCATCATCCATCCATCCATCCATCCATCCATCCATGGATCCATGGATCCATCCATCCATCCATCCATCCATCCATCCATCCATCATCCATCCATCCATCCATCCATCCATCCATCCATCCATCATCCATCCATCCATCCATCCATCCATCCATCCATCCATCCATCCCTCCATGAGCAGAGATCTCTGGACATCAGGGAATCCTGGGCTGGTTTGGGTTGGGAGGGGTCTCAAATCCCACCTGGTTCCATCCAGGGACCCCTCCCGCCACCCCAGGTGCTCCAGGCCCGGTGTCCAGCCTGGCCTTGGACATTCCAGGGGTCATTCCAGCCCCTCATCCCTGCCCGGCTCTGGGATGTTCTGTCAGGACAGAGCGGGAAATTGCGACAGCAACGCCATGGGACAGCCTGGGAAGGGATCGCGGTGGGGAGAGAGGAGGAGAAGGAGAAAAAGGAAAAGAAGGAAAAGAAGGAAAAGAAGAAGAATGAGGAGGAAGAGGAGAAAAAGAGGAAGAAGATGAGAGAGGAGGAAGAGGTGGAAGAGGTGCAGAAGAGTCAGAAATAGAAGAAGAGGAAAAAGAAAGAGGAAAAGGAGGAGGAGGAGGTGGAGATGAAGGAGGAGAAGAATAAAAAGGAGAAGGGGAAGAAGAAGAGAAGGAGGAAGAAGAAGAGGAGGAGAAGAGGAAGAAGGGGAAGATGAAGAAGAAAAAGAGGAGAAAGAAGAGGAAAAGGAGGAGAAGGAGATGAAAGAGGAGAAGAAGTGGAGGAAGAGGAGAAAAAGAAGACGAGGGAGGAGGAAGAGGTGGAAGAGGTGAAGAAGGAGGAGAAGAAGAAGAAGAAGAAGAAGAAGAAGAAAGAGGAGGAGGAAGGGAAGGATGAGGAAGAAGAAGAGGAGCAGAAGGAGAAGAGGAGGAGAAAGAGGAGGTGAATAACAGGAAGAGGAAGAGGAAGAGGAGGAAGAAGAGGACGAGAAGAACAAGAAGAGAAGAAGGAAGAGAAGGAGAAGAACAAGAAGAAGAGGAGGAAGAAGAGGAGGAGGAAGAGGATGAGGAGAAGAAGAGAAGGAGAAGAAGAAGAACAAGAATAAGAACAAGAACAAGAAGAGGAGAAGGAAGAGGAAGAAGAGAAGGAGGAAGAGGAGGAGGGCAAGGAGAAGAACAAGAAGAGGAGAAAGAGGAGGAAGGAGAAGAAGAACAAGAAGAGGAGGAGGAAGAGGAGAGAAGAGCAAGAAGAGGAGAAGGAAGAGGAGGAGAAGGAGAGGAAGAACAAGAGGAGAAGGAAGAGGAGGAGGAGGAGGAGGGCCGAGAAGCGCAGGGGGAGCACCGGAAAGCCGCAGCAGCGATAATGAAGCCGCGGCAGGCCCGGGCTGGGTGGGCTGCGGCCGCCGGCCGGGGGCACGGCCGGGGGGCGGGGGGCGGAGGGGGCGAGGGGGCCGAGGGGGCAGCAAAGTCTTTCAACGTGGCCTTTCCACACCCCCAGCCCCAAATTCACAGCTGCTGTCACATGCGATCTCCGTCAGCGCTGACACTCACGCACTGCTGCCCGCGCGGGGGGGACCGCGGCCCCCGGTGACAAAGGGGACCCGACCCGGCTCCACCCGCCGCTAATTGCTCCCGCTCGCCCGCCCTGCCCTCCGCAGCCCCCGCGGCCCCTCCCGGCCCCTCCCGGCACTCAGGGCTCGGCTGCAAAGTGCGCCGGGGGCTCGCTGCCACCTCCGAGGGGGGCTGGGGGTCGGGGAAGGGAGCTTAAGGGTCGGCCTGTTCCGCCAGGTCAGGTGGATCCGAGTCCATCCAGCCTGGCCTTGGGCGCTTCCAAGGATTCAGGGGCAGCCACAGCAAATCTGGGAATTCCAGCTCAGCCTCTCCTCACCCTCCTGGACAGGAATGGCTTGCCAAAATCCCACCGAAATCTCTCCTTTCCCAGTGGGAAGCCATTCCCCTTTTTTGTCACCTCATCCTCTGGGCTGGGTGTGGGGTGAGTGATGCTCAACCCCAGCCCCAAATTCCAGAGCTGGGAAGGGATGGGGATACCTGGAGCAGAGATGGGAAGCAGGAGGGATAAACAGCCCCCAAATCCCTAAATCCCCCAAATCCTCGGTCCCAGAGCAAAGCTGTGGGTGCGGGGCTGCCCCAGCAGGTCCAGAGCTGGTCCTGAGCCGCCCTGGGGCAGGGAGGGTCCCTGGTGTCCCCCAGGGCACAGAGAGGGGACCCCAGCCCGGGCACCCCTGGATGGATGATGGATGGATGGATGATGGATGATGGATGGATGGATGGATGGATAGATGGATGGATGGATGATGGATGGATGGATGGATGGATGGATGGATGATGGATGGATGGATGATGGATGGATGGATGGACGGATGATGGATGGATGGATGGATGGATGGATGATGGATGGATGGATGGATGGATGGATGGATGGATGGATGGATGGAAGGATCCATGGATGGACGGACAGATGGACAGAGCAGGGGCAGAGGATGCTGGGCACAAGGCTCTGGATGGGGCTGGGTGCATCCCCCATCCCTGGCAGTGTCCAAGGGACAGGGACAGGGCTGGAGCAGCCTGGGACAGTGGGAGGTGTCCCTGAGGGTGGCACTGGCTGGGATTTAAACTCCCTCCCAACCCAAAATCCAGGATTTTACGACTCCATGAATGCCCAATTTCCAGAACCCGCACCACAAACCCACCCCCCTCTTTTCCTCCTCCAGCTCTTCCTCCCAATCCCTCTCACCCCCGAGCCCACCCTGGGACTTTTCCGACAATCCCTAAGTGACCGCTCGCTTCCCCCCCAATCCTGGCCGGCCGTGGTCGCCTGCTGGACCTGCCCATTGTGCCATGTGTCACTTTGTGCCGCGCTGTCAACCCCGCGGGGCTGGCCCGGGGCTGGCAGGGGCCGTGAAAAGCCCGGCGGGGGGTCACACTCTATGCCACTAATTAGGGCCCGGCGGCCGCGGGTTCCCAGACACACCTGCACGGTCATGTGGGGGCAGCCGCAGAAAAGGCGGCCCCAGCCAAGCGTGAAGCCAGCGAGGAAAAAAAAAAGGGGGAAAAAAACAACAAAAAAAAAAAAAAAAAAAAAAGAGAAAAAAAAAGAGGGAAATTCAAGCGTTGCTCGCTGTGGAATTAAATACCAGGGAGGGAGGGAGGAGAGGGGAGGGAAGGGATCCTAAAGGATGTGGGATGAAAGGCGGGGGTTGTTGTGGGGCAGAGGGGTCACAGCCCCCCAGGGCAGGGTGGCCAAGGGTTGGGAGTGTCCCTGGATCCTCCTCTGCTGCTGCTCGTGTCCCAAATGGCACCAGGAACAGACCCCAAAGGGACAACCCGTGTCTGGAGCAGGAGAGGTGTCAGGGATTGTGGGGACAGATGGGACGTGGCAGCAACCCACCAAAATCACTGCTGGGCTGGGGCTGTGTGGCACAAATTGGATGTCCATCTGTCTGTCCATCTGTCCATCCATCCATCCATCCATCCATCCATCCATAATCCATCCATCATCCATCCATCCATCTATCCATCCATCCATTCACCCATCCATCCATCCATCCATCCATCCATCATCCATCCATCCATCCATCCATCCATCCATCCATCCCTCCATCATCCATCTGTCCATCCATCCAGCCATCATCCATCCATCCATCCATCCATCCATCCATCCATCATCCATCCATCCGTCCATCTATCCATCCATCTATCCATTCATCATCCATCCATCCATCCATCCATCCATCCATCCATCTGTCCATTCATCATCCATCCATCCATCCATCCATCCATCCATCCATCTGTCCATTCATCATCCATCCATCCATCCATCCATCCATCCATCCATTTGTCAATTCATCATCCATCCATCCATCCATCCATCCATCTATCCATTCATCATCCATCCATCCATCCATCCATCCATCCATCCATCCATCCATCTGTCCATTCATCATCCATCCATCCATCCATCCATCCATCCATCCATCTGTCCATTCATCATCCATCCATCCATCCATCATCCATCCATCCATCCATCCATCCATCATCCATCCATCCGTCCATCTATCCATCCATCTATCCATCCATCATCCATCCATCCATCCATCCATCCATCCATCCATCCATCATCCATCCATCCGTCCGTCCATCCATCATCCACCCATCCATCCATCCATCCATCCATCCATCCATCCATCCCTGCCCATCCCAGTTCTCCCAGTTCCGGGCACTGGGCTGTAGCTGGGGACAGTGACAGCACCCCTGTGCCCAGTGCCACACTGGGACCCCGAACTGGGACCCCAAACTGGGATTCCAAACTGGGGACCTGAACAGGAACCCGTAACTGGGGCTCCAAACTAGAACATTTAGCTGGGACCCTAAACTGGGACCCCAAACTGGGATCCCAAACTGGGAAACTGAACTGGGACCTCAGACTTGGACCCTAAACTGGAACTCTTAACTGGGACCCCAAATTGGAACCTTTAACTGGCAACCTGAACTGGAACTCTTAACTGGAATTCTAAACTGGAGCCTTTAACTGGGACCCCAAAATGGTACCTTAAACTGGGAACCCAAACTGGGACCCCAAATTGGGGACCCAAACTGCGAAACTGAACTGGGACCCCAGACTTGGACCCTAAACTGGAGCTCTTAACTGGGAACCTGACCTGGGACCCTTAACAGGGAACCTGAACTGGGACCCTTAAATGGTACCCTAAACTGGGAACATAAACTGGTACCCTAAACTGGGAACCCAAACTGGGAAACTGAACTGGGAACCCAAACTGGGAAACTGAACTGGGACCTCAGACTTGGACCCTAAACTGGAACTCTTAACTGGGAACCTGAACTGGGACCCTTAAATGGTACCCTAAACTGGGAACATAAACTGGTACCCTAAACTGGGAACCCAAACTGGGAAACTGAACTGGGAACCCAAACTGGGAAACTGAACTGGGACCCCAGACTTGGACCCTAAACTGGAGCTCTTAACTGGGAACCTGAACTGGGACCCTTAAATGGTACCCTAAACTGGGAACATAAACTGGTACCCTAAACTGGGAACCCAAACTGGGAACCCAAACTGGGAAACTGAGCTGGGACCCCAGACTTGAACCCTAAACTGGAGCTCTTAACTGGGACTCTTAACTGGGAACATGAACTGGGACCCTTAACTGGGACCCCAAACAGGGACCCCAAGCTGAGATGGCCAGCTAGGATGCCAAACTGGGACCCTAAACCGGGAACATAAACTGGGACTCCAAACTGGGATCCCAAACTGAGACCCAGAACTGGGGCCCTAAACTGGGACCCAAACTGGGACCCCAAATAGGGGACCCAAACTGCGAAACTGAACTGGGACCCCAGACTTGGACCCTAAACTGGAGCTCTTAACTGGGAACCTGAACTGGGACCCTTAAATGGTACCCTAAACTAGGACCCTAAACTGGTACCCTAAACTGGGAAACTGAACTGGGAACCCAAACTGGGAAACTGAGCTGGGACCCCAGACTTAAACCCTAAACTGGAGCTCTTAACTGGGAACCTGAACTGGGATCCTTAAATGGTACCCTAAACTAGGACCCTAAACTGGTACCCTAAACTGTTACCCTAAACTGGGAACCCAAACTGGGACCCCAGACTGGGACCCCAGACTTAGACCCTAAACTGGAGTCCTTAACTGGGAACCTGAACTGGGACCCTTAACTGGGACCCCAAACAGGGACCCCAAGCTGAGATGGCCAGCTAGGATGCCAAACTGGGACCCTAAACCGGGAACATAAACTGGGACCCCAAACTGGGATCCCAAACTGAGACCCAGAACTGGGGCCCTAAGCTGGGACCCAAACTGGGATCCCAAACTGGGACCCCGAACTGGGAACATAAGCTGGGACCCTAAACTGGGACCCAGAACAGGGGGAACCCCGCACCCCCATGAGCTCAGGCACCCACAGCCCCACGCTGCCCCTCCCCCACATTCAGGGATGTCCCCACCCTTCCGAATGTCACCGCCAGGTCCCCCCCCCCCCCAGCCGTGCCACCCCCTCTGTCCTTCCTGCCACTTCTGCTGTCACCTCCCAGAATATTTTGGGACTCGCCTGTCCCAGCTGCCCACCTGGGTGACAGGGACACACCGGGGACAGGACTTTGTCCCCGCCTGGGTGGCGGTGCCGCTCTGGGCACAGGGAGGGGACAAACGCGTCCCCCGAGGGGACAAACGCGAGCAGCGGGAAGAAACTGGGGCGGTTTTTTCCTGGCACAGGGACACGCGGGTGACACCCGAGCCAAGGGCTGGCGCTCGGCCAGGCGACACGGGCAGGAGTCACCCGCGGGTGGCCGCTGTTGACAGCAAACACGGCGGGTGGCCGGGCAGGGCCAGCTCGGCTCGGGAGGGACCGGAGCCACCCGGCTGGGGACATCCCCGCGAGGTGGCTTCCGAACCGCCCCGGCAGCGAAGGCACCAAGGTCACAAGGGACGCCCTTGGTGACAGCGGGGGCTTGGGGACAAAGTGACAGGGGGATGGTCCAGCCCCGTGTGGCGCTGGCACGGTGCCAGGTGTCCCGATGTCACCGTGGGATGGGGACACAGCGGGAAGGGCGCCCCGGCTGTCACCATGGCGCCTCACAGGTGTCCCCAGGGTGGGGACACTTTCCCCGGTCCTTGTGGGTGCGGTGCCCAGGAGGGGACACCCCCGCAGCCCCACAGTGTCCCCCTGTCCCCCCGAGAGGCACACGTGGCCGCTGTGCCACCCTGCCTGTCGCAGTGCCACCCAACTGTCCCCTCCTGAGCCAGTGTCACCCGTCCATCCATCCCTGCCACCCCTGCCTGTCCCAGTGCCACCCACCCATTTCTGTTACCCTCCCTGTCCCAGTGCCACCCCTCTGTCCCTTCCTGAGCCAGTGTCACCCACCCGTCCCTGTCACCTCTGCCTGCCACAGTGCCACCCCTCTGTCCCTGCCAATCCCTGCCTGCCCCAGTGTCAGCCACCCATCCCTGTCACCCTCCCTGTCCCAGTGCCACCCCTCTGTCCCTTCCTATCCCAGTGCCACCCACCCATCCCTGCCACCCCTGCCTGTCCCAGTGCCCCCCCTCTGTCCCTTCCTGAGCCAGTGCCACCCCTCTGTCCCTGTCACCCCTGCCTGCCCCAGTGTCACCCACCCATCCCTGTCACCCTCCCTGTCCCAGTGCCACCCCTCTGTCCCTTCCTGTCCCAGTGCCACCCGCCCGACCCTGTCACCTCTGCCTGCCCCAGTGCCACCCACCTGTCCCTGTCCCTGCTCCAGTGCCACCCACGCACTCCTGCCCGGTGTCACCCCCTCGTCCCTGCCACCACTGCTCGGGGACAGAGCGATGTCCCTTCCGTCCCCGGGGTTCCCGCCTCGGTGTCCCCTCGGTGTCCCCCCGGTGTCCCCTCAATGTCCCGCACTCACTCAGCCGGGGGTTGCTGTGGAAGTCGCGGGTCACGGCCAGCCCGTGCTCGCGGGCTGCCGCCAGCTCTGTCGCCGCTGCTGCCACCTTGGTGGCGGCCATGGCCCTGTCCCTGTCCGTGTCCTTGTCGCCGTCACGGTCCCGGTCCCGCCGGGCAGGACACGGCAGCGCCCCGGGTTTTATAGCCCCGGCCCGGCCCCGCCCGCGACACCGGTGGCAAAGGTGACACCGGCAGCAAAGGTGACACTGGCGGCACAGGTGACACCGGAGACAGAGGTGGCACCGGCGGCACAGGTGACACCGGAGACACAGGTGACACCGTGTTGGCTGTAAACAGCGGGAGGGAGCGGCCGGGGGCGGGATCGCGGGAGCCGGGATGGGGGCAGGGAATGGGAATGGGAGAGGGAATGGGAATGGGAACGGGAATGGGAACGGGAATGGGAATGGGAACGGGAACGGGAACGGGAACGGGAGTGGAAATGGGAACAGGAGTGGGAACAGGAGTGGGAACAGGAACGGGATAGGGATGGGGATGGGGATAGGGACAGAGACAGGGACAGGGATGGGGATAGGGATGGGGGTAGGGATCGGGATAGGGATGGGGAATGGGATAAGGTACGGGGATAAAGGACAGGGATTACGGGTATGAGATAAGGAAAGGGATAGGGATAAGGGATAGGGATCGGAATGGGGAGAGGGAATGGGATAGGGGTGGGAATGGCGTAAGGGATATGAGATAATGGATCAGGACAGGGAGAGAGATAAGGAGCAGGGATAGGAAGAGGGATAGGGAATGGGAGAGGAAGAGAGATAAAGGACAGGGATAAGGGGTAGGGATAAGGAAAGGGATAGTGGTAATGGATAGGGATGGGAATACAGATAGATAAGGGATGGGCTAGGGATAGAGATAAGGAATAAGGATAGGGATAGGGATAGGGATAAAGGAATGGAATAGGGAAAGGGACTGGGATAAGGGATAGGGATGTAAATAGGGATGGGGTTAGGGATAAGGGAAAGGGATAAGAATAAGGAATAAGAATAGGGATAAGGGATTGGGATAGGGATAGGGGATTTGGATAGGGATGTAGATAAGGGATAGTGATCGGGATAGGGAATGGGAATGGGATAGGGATAAGGGAATGGGAATGGGATAAGGGATAGGGATTAGGGAATGGGATAGGGAAAGGGACGGGGCTAAGAGATAGGGACAGGGATGAAGATAGGGGATAAGGATCGGGATAGGGAATGGGATAAGGATAGGGGATAGGGATAGGGATAGGGATGGGGTTAGGGATAAGGGATTGGGATAGGGATAAGGATAGGGGATAGGGATAGGGATAAGGGATTGGGATAGGGATAAGGGATAGGGATAGGGATAAGGGATGGAGTAGGGATGTGGGTAAGGAATAAGAATAGAGATAAGGGGAAGGGGTAGTGATGGCAGGATAGAGATAGGAGTTAGAGATAAGGGATAGGGAGAAGAATTGGGATATTCCTGCTCCTCGGCAGGGATCAGAGATCTGAGATAGGGAATGGGATAAAGGATAAAGGCTAAGGAGAGGGAAAAGGAGAGGGAGTGGGATGGGCATAAGGGATAGAAACGGGAACAGGGATAAGGATAGGGATAAGGGATAGGGATAAGGGATAGGGATAGGGATAGGGATAGGGATAGGGATAGGGATAAGGGATAGGGATAGGGATAGGGTTAGCAATAAGGGAATGGAAATGGGATGGGGTTAGGGATAAGGGATAGGGATTAGGGAATAGGATAGGGAAAGGGACCGGGATAAAGGATAGAGATGTAGATAAGGGATAGGGATCGGGATAGGGATGAGGGGTTGGGATAAAGGGTTGGGATAGGGATAAGGAATAAGAATAGGGATAAGGAATAAAAACAGGGTTAAGGGATAGCAAAGGGGGATGGAGATTGGGGTAGGGATAAAGGATAAGGAAAAATTGAATAAAAAAATAGGAAAATAGGAAAAATAGGGACAAGGGGTTGGGATAAGGAATAAGGATAGGGAACAAGGGGTGCACGGCTCCTCAGGGGCTCTAAGGACACAGCAGAGAGGGCAACGGTGGCCTTAGGAATGTCGCCCTGCGACGTCACCCACGGGGACAATGACCCGGAACAGGGGAGGATGAGGAGGAGGCGGAAGGAGGCAGGACGTGACTTTTATTAACATTAGACACCATTGCAAAACCCCAATTTTTCCTTAAAATTTGACATCCAATTGTTGGTTTTCCAGTCATCCCAGTCTGGAGGAGCCCCTGGAACGGACTGGGACAAACTGGGGATGGCCCCAAGCTGTCCCCGACCCCCGCGACAGCTTCGCTTTGGAGAAAGGAGCTTTGGAAAAGCTTTGGGTGGGATTTGGGATTTTTGGGGTCAAACGGGCAAAAGGAGCAGCGCCGGGATTCCCGAGGAACCGGAGCAGGCAGGAAAACCCCAAAGATGATCCCAAATCCAACCCGGGCTTTGTTTTGCCCGAAATGTCCCCAAATCCCCTCCGGCCGCGGAGGTTGAGGGATCTGGGGTTCCCTTTTCCACCCGATTCCTCCCGGTGAGCCCGGGAATTTTCTGGAAATCCCTAAATCCCCGCTGGAATGGGGCTGGGAAAAGGGAAAAGCAAAATCCAAGCGAGGCCCGGGTGGGGTTGGGGACAGAATTCCAGGGCTGGGGACGCGGCCACTTCCCTGTCCTGGCTCCACCTGGATCGGGAAGAGGCGGGATGGACATAAATTAAAGGATTAGGGGATGAGCGGGGGAAAAATCCCAAATAATCGTTGGAGCAATTCCAGGCGAATTATGCCAGAATTAAAGGACAGGGCGACAGGCAGGATTGTCACTTGTCACCTGTCCCTGCCTCAGTTTCCCCGCCCGAGCAGTCCCCTTAAAACGCTCCAAAGGCAGCGGGGCAATAAATAAAAATTCCCTGAAAACGGGGAAAAATTAAAAAGAGGACCCGAAGTTTCTCATAAAATCTTTTATTTTAAATATTTCCCTGCAAAATCCTGGGAATTCGGGGCCCCGGGGGAGCAGCAGCCCGGGGGTGGGGGGGGGACGATGCTCAGTGTTAATGATCATTATTAATTAATTGATTGATTAATTAATCAACAGCAGCGGGTTTGGGGGTGTGGGGGAGCCCCCAGGGCAGGGCCTGGGTGTGGGGAGGGGGCTCGGGGTGTCCCCCTGGTCCTGTCACAGCCGTGTCCCTGCGGGGTCGGGGGGTGGCACTGAGGGGTGGTGACACCGCGGGGTGTCCTGGCAGGGTGGTGACACTTTGGGGTACCTGGTGACGCCACCCCAGGGTGTCCTGGCAAGGCAATGCCATCACAGGATGACAAAGTGATGCCACCCCAGGGTGTCCTGGCACGGTGGTGACACCCCAGGACACCTGCACAATGTGATGCCACCCTAGGGTGTCCCACCAAGGTGACACTCGCACTCCCCCAGCAGCCGTCCCTGTCCCCAAGGGCCACCTCACGCCAAGTCCCCCTGGTCCCCAACCCCACCCTCAGCCCGAGTGGCCCCGCAGGGAGCTGGGAAGGGACCCTGGCTGTGACAGGTGACAAGGGAGGTGTGGCAGGTGACAGTGCCAGCACGGGGTCACTGCGGTGCCACCCCTGGGTGGGTCTGGGCGCGCTGCTGCACCCGCCCCGCCCCAGAGCGGCAGGTGGCACTGTCACCGCTGTCCCCAGCTGTCACCCAGCGGGACGGGACAGGGACCCACAGCCCCCCTGTAGGGACAGCCCCAAAAAGGGACAGGGCGGCGTTGGGGCTCCGCGGGTGTCCCAGCACGGCGACAATTGGGGACATCACTCAGGACACCGGAGGACAAATCCCACCCCCGGGAGCAGCGCCGGGACCCTGCGGTCACCGCGGGGAAACTGAGGCACGGCGCTTCTCCGAGGACACCGCGGGGACAGAGCCCGGTGTCACCTCGCGCTGTCCCTTTTGTCCCCCCGGAAAAGACACCCCAGGGTGTCCCAGCGCCATCTCCCGCTGCTCCTGTCCCCTCCCGCCCATACCTGGAGCGGAGCTTTGGTGACAGCGACACCTCGGAGTGTCACCACCCCAACCCTGGCGACATCCGCGCCTCCACCGGCCCGGGGAGGAGCTGCCGTTCCCGGGGGCGCCCATTCCCAGCGGGAATTCCCAGTTGGGGGGGGGACAATCTGGGCTTGGTGTGGCGGGGGGGAGGTGACACTTTTTGACACTGTTTTTTTTTAAGGGTTTTTTTTTTTTTTTTTTGGTGCTTTTTTTTAGTTTTTCCTTTTAAGGGCTCGGCTTCTTGCTGGGTATAGAACTGTCCTTCCTCTCCAGCCGCGTGTAAGGCTCGAACGCGGAGGTTCCGGGCGGGTACGAAGCGGGCAGGTCGTGCAGGGCGCCCAGCAGCGGCCCCCCGAAACACAGCGGCCTCCCCGGCAGCCGCGGCGACGACGACAACGAGGACGAGGAGGAGGATGAGGATGAGGAGGAGGAGGAAGCGGCGAGGGACGGGACGTGCAGGCCGAAAGGCGGCGGGGCCGGGGGGCTGCTGGTGCCCAGCCCCGGCGGGGACGCGGGGACAGGCGGCGCCAGGCCGGCCGCGGGGCTGGCGACAGCGACAGGGTTGGAAGGGGGGGACAGGAGGCTCGGGGGGGGCGGCACGGACAGGAGGCGGCCCTGCTCCAGCAGCCGCAGGATGTTGCAGGTGGCGAAGGACTCGGAGGTGCCGGAGGAGCGTTTCTCAGAGTCCCTGCTCTGGTCCTTCTTCTGCTTCGTGCGGCGGTTCTGGAACCACACCTTGACCTGGGGAGGGGGTTTGGGGTGGGGAAAGGGGGGGGACGGGAGGGCACGGACGGAAAGAGAGCGCGGGGGGGGCCGGGGAGAGAGAGGCGAGAGCCAGGAGAGAGCGAGAGGTACGAGAGAGAGAGAGAGATGGATTAGAATAAACGGCCAAGCGAGATCCGCCCGCCCGGGATCCGGGGAAAGGGAGAATTCCTGCGGGGCCCGAGCCTGAGGGGGGGGAGCACCCCGGGAATGAGAGCACAGGGGTGGGAATCGGGACAGGAGCCGGGGAACGGCACCCCGGGAATGGGACTTGGGACAGGAACCCAGGGTTGGGATTGTGAGGATGGAACCTCAGGAATGGGATACCAGGGATGCAACTCGGGACAGGAGCCCAGGAATGGCACCCCAGGAATGGGACCCCAGGAATGGGACTTGGGACAGGAACCCAGGGTTGGGATTGTGGGGATGGAACCCCGGGAATGAGAGCACCGGGGTGGGAATCGGGACAGGAGCCCGGGAATGGCACCCCGGGAATGGGGCTTGGGACAGGAACCCAGGGTTGGGATTGTGGGGAGGGAACCCCGGGAATGAGAGCACCGGGGTGGGAATCGGGACTGAAGTCCGGGAATGGCACCCCAGGAATGGGACTTGGGACGGGAACTCAGAGTTGGGATCGTGAGGATGGAACCTCAGGAATGGGATACCAGGGATGCAACTCGGGACAGGAGCCCAGGAATGGCACCCCAGGAATGGGACCCCAGGAATGGGACTTGGGACAGGAACCCAGGGTTGGGATTGTGGGGATGGAACCCCGGGAATGAGAGCACCGGGGTGGGAATCGGGACAGGAGCCCGGGAATGGCACCCCGGGAATGGGGCTTGGGACAGGAACCCAGGGTTGGGATTCCAGGGATGGAACCCCAGCAATGGAATCACAGGGATGGCATTTAGGACAGGAGCCCAGGGCTGGGATCACAGGGATGGAACCCCAGGAATGGAATCCCAAGAATGGGATGGGATTCTAGGAATGGGACCCCAGGAATGGCACTCCAGGAATGGCACCCCAGGAATGGGACTTGGGACAAGAACTCAGGGTTGGGGTCCCAGGGATGGAACCCCAAGGATGGAACCTCAGGAATGGGATCCCATGGATGGGACCCCAGGAATGGGATCACAGGGATGCGACTCGGGACAGGAGCCCAGGAATGGCACCCCAGGAATGGGACTTGGGACAGGAACTCAGGATTGGGATTACAGGGATGGAACCCTAGGAATGGGATCCCAGGGATGGGACTTGGGACACGAGCCCAGGGTTGGGATCTCAGGGATGGAACCCCAAGGATGGAACCTCAGGAATGGGATCCCAGGGATGGAACCCCAGGAATAGGACTCGGGACAGGAACCCAGAAATGGGATCCCAGGGATGGGACTTGGGACATGAACCCAGGGTTGGGATCTCAGGGATGGAACCCCAAGAATGGGATCCCAGGGATGGAACCTTGAGAATGGGATCCCAAGGTTGGGAGCCCGGGGATGGGTCCCCATGGATGGGACTCCAGGACTGAGACCCCAGGAATGGGATCCCAGGGTTTGGACTCAGAACAGGAGTTCAGGGTTGGGATTCCAGGGACAGGACCCCGGGAATGGGATCCCAGGCTCCTGTGCCTGGAATGGGACGCCAGGAATGGAATTCCACAGATGGGAATTGGAACAGGAGCCCGGGACTGGGAGCCTGGGGATGGGACCCCAGGAATGGGATCCCAGGGATGGGATCCTAGGGTTGGGAGCCTGGAGATTTGTCCCTATGAATGGGACTCCAAGAATGGGATCCCAGGGATGGGACTTGGGACAGGAGCCAGGGACAGGATCTCAGGGATGGGACCCCAACGAGCCCAGGCTCCTGTTCCTGGAATGGGACCCCTGGAATGGAGCTGGGGACAGGAGCCCAGGGTTGGGAACCCATGGATGGCACCCCAGGAATGGGACCCCAGGGATGGCACTCGGGACAGAAGCCCAGGGGTGGGACCCCAGGGACGGGACCTTGGGGACGGGAGCCTGGGGAAGGAGCCCAGAGATGGTGTCTGACCCGCCCGTGCCGTGCTCGGCTCTCCCTGCGCTGCTTTTCCCGGGAATGCTGACAGGGACAGGCTGGATCCTCCTCAACCCCAAATTCCCATCCCCGACTGCAAACCCTTCCCTGGCCGGGGCGCGGGGTGACACCTGAGGGGACAGGGTGGCTTCTGGTGGCCCTGGACTGCCGGGGACAGACCCGGCTGGGGACACCCGCAGCCCCGGCCGGGATCAGCAGGGAACCCAGGCTGAGCCCGCGGGATCCCCGCACCCCAAACCCGCCCCTGCCCACCGCAGACCCCCCTAAATCCCCCTGCATCCCTCCCTCCCTCCCTGGCAGAGCAGAGGGGCAGGAGAGGCAGAGAGAGAGACAGAGAGAGGCGGGACGGACGGACAGACGGACACGGGGTGAGGGAAGGACACGGGTGGGAAGACACTCGGGTTAGAGCGCGGCGGGGACGAGGGGGAGGGATCCCGAGCCGGGGGGCCGGCGGTGCCGGGCTCGTCCCGGTGTCACCGGCGGCTCCTTGGGGACACGCCGGGCCCGCGGTGACACGGCACAAAGGAGCCCCAGGGCGGAGCGGGGGAGCTGCGGGAACCGGGGACACTGCGGGGACACGGTGGGGACACCGACACCGCGGGGACATCGCCTCCCGCCACCGCCGGGCACTGCCGGCCCGCCACTCCCCTCGGGGACATCCGCGACACCCGCACGGGGACACTGAAGCACTCGCTGCCACCGGGCACAGCCGGGTCCTCAGAGATGGTGTCACCCATGCCACTGACCCCAGAGCTGTGTCCCCATGTCACTGACTCCAGAGCTGTGTCCCCATCCCAGTGGTCACTCCATGCGGACCACTGGGATGGTTTTGGGAACAGAGCTGGGTCCCCAGAGTGGTGTCCCTGTCCCACTCACCCCAGGGCTGATGTCCCCATCCCACTGACCCCAGAGTGGTGTCCCCATCCCACTGACCCCACTGGTCACTGCGTGCTGACCACTGGGATGGTTTTGGGAGCACAGCTGGCTCCCCATGGTTGGTGTCCCCATCCCACTGACCCCAGAGTGGTGTCCCCATCCCACTGACCCCACTGGTCACTGCGTGCTGACCACTGGGATGGTTTTGGGAGCACAGCTGGCTCCCCATGGTTGGTGTCCCCATCCCACTGACCCCAGAGTGGTGTCCCCATCCCAGTGACCCCATTGGTCACTCCATGCTGACCACTAGGATGGTTTTGGGAATAACACCTGTCCCCAGAGCTGTGCCCCTGTCCTACTGACCCCAGTGCTGTGTCCCCATCCCAATGACCCCATTGGTCACTCTCTGCTGACCACTGGGATGGTTTTGGGCACAGTCCCACGTCCCCAGACATGGTGACTGGACACAGAATTGTCCCATCCCCTGGAGCAGCCGAATCCTGGGAATTGCAGATCCCAAACCCGCAGTGGTGGGGCCAAAGAGAACCCAGGGAGTCCCAAACCCTGTAATTAGCACCAATTTAATGAAGATCCAAAGTGAACCTGTACAGGGTGGACATTTCCAGAACTCTCACTCCAAATATTCCCCATCCAGCAATTCAGGAGGAGCAGAAATTCAGGAAAATCCTCAGTGGGATTTAACTCTTGAGGATGGGCAGGACGAGCCCATGGATCAGGTTTGGAACTTCAACCACATTCCTGAACCCCAAACCAGGAGCTGCTCCAAAATCCAACTGCTCCAGGTGGATCCAGCCTGGCCTTGGGCACTGCCAGGGATCCAGGGGCAGCCACAGCAAATCTGGGAATTCCAGCCCAGCCCCTGCCCACCCTCCCAGCCAGCAATTCCTTGCCGAGATCCCAGCCCAATCTCCCCTTTCCCAGTGGGAGCCATTCCCTGGCTCCTGTCCCTGCAGGCCTTGTCCCCAGTCCCTGTCCAGCTCTCCTGGAGCCCCTCCAGGGACTCTGAGGATTCCCTGGAATTTTCCCTTCTCCAGGGGAACATTCCCAGCTCCCCAACCCACCAAGGAAATGGAAATATGGGAAAAAGGAATCGTGGCACAGAGACCCCAAAAGGCTGGGAAAGTGTCTGTGAGGAGCTATGAAATAGTATAAAATATAAAATATTAATATTTAATTATTGATATTGAATAATAAAGCAATAAAAATTTTGATGTTTATATTTGGGAAAGAGAATAATAATGGGAAAATAAATATATACACACATCATTTACATACATTTTATATTATTTTATATAGAAATATAATTATTGTTTTCTATTATATTTACTTATGTCTTTATGTTTCCTATATTATATTTAATTACATCTTTATATTTTTGTTGTTTTTATTTTCTGCTGCATATTAACTCGTTGAGATATTTTATATTAATTTATAATTACAGTAGTAAATAATATTAATATATACCTATAAAATATAGCTTACTCATATATAATTCATAATACATATATACATATATAGTATATAATGTATTTAATGTAATTATAATGTATTATATATTTTATATGATGTGTTACATTTGATTTTAGATTACATGTTTATATATTGTGATATTGATGTTTTTCCTTCTTTATTTTATATTATTTTATTATTTTATTATTTTTTTATTTATTATTTTATTCTTTAGCAATTCAATTTTAATTTTTAAAACTGATTTTAAAAATATAATTTAATTTAATTTATCTTAATTATTTCACACCCTTGTCTCCTATCAAATTTTTAGAATTCTCTTACACTTATTTTGTTTTCTCCTACTGTATTTTATTTTGCTTTATTCTCTTCCATTTTATTTTCCCATCTTTTATTCCATTCTATTCCTTCTCCCTGAGCCAATTTGCTTTCATCATATTTTATGTTTTATATTTTATATTTTATATTTTATATTTTATATTTTATATTTTATATTTTATTTTACTTTTTATTTTATTATGTTTTATTTATTTTTATTTTTATTT